GGGAACGAACGAAGGAGAAATATCGACAACATAAATATTGACTTGGCAACAATTCTAGAATGGGGATCCAATAACTCGGTAGATTTCAATGCAAACAAAACACAAGCTTGCATTTTTTCTAGGAAAGCCGATCTCACTGTGCCCTACATAAGCATGTCAGGAGCACGAAGACATCTATTTAGATGCTTGGTATTACTATCAGCAATAACCATTCTTGGGAAAATCACAAGAAATCAATTGCTGAAAGTGCATCTGAAAAACTTGGTTTTTTGTTTCGAGCCAGGAGCTATTTCATTTCCAGTCAGCTGCTTATGATCTATAAGGCACAGACCCGACCTGTCTTGGAATACTGTTCCCTTATTTGGAGTGCAGCACCCAAACATACCCTGAAACTGTTGGATTCTGTCCAAAAAAAGGGCAATTCGTCTCGTGGGTGATGCCTCGCTCACAAACTCACTAACTTCTCTGGAACACCGTAGAAAAGTTGGCAATCTGGCTCTATTTTATAGATTATTTCATGGACGATGCTCTTCTGAAATATCAACAATTGTTCCTCCATTGGCATTCCCCGCGAGGTTAACCCGTCGAGTTGAGGCTTCGCACCCTATCGTGGTCACTTTGGAGACCTGTAGAACATCTCTTCCCAAAGACTCGTTTATCCAACGAACAGCAAGGCTCTGGAACACATTGCCAAGGGAGGTGTTCCCCGAGGCATATAACCTCCAGGAATTCAAGAAGAACATCAATTCCTACCTTATTTCTCTTGGTTTTCACGATGTTATCTGAACATTACAGGATATTCCTTTTCATTGTAACCAGAACATAAAAAAAAGATAAACACAACAAGAGAATTTGATCGAATTAGAGTGGATGGTCTTGGCCTTCATCAGAAAGTCAGGAAAAACAACTAGAAGGAGGATGTGTAGATATGTGGAGAGCATGGGTTGGCAAAAAAAGTCCATAAGGGGCTACTTGCTTGCCAGTAGGCTCCCTGTTACAGCGACAAAATAACATATTGTATAATATACTTGTGATAATCTGAGAGTTTGCTTGTCATGTTAGTTTTTCTGATATATTTGACTTTGTCAGAATTATAAAAATACGTCAAGACAAAAATAGACAATTTTTACTAAAAGACTCTATTGAGACTCAATAATACTCCCCATAGTACGTTTTTCAGTTGATATTGTGAAGAATGCTCTAAAAAATCGTTGGTATCCGCGATGATAATAGTGAAATCAAGGCAAGGTTGGTTTATGTAGGTGTGTAAATATTACTGCGGGAAAAACGAATTTTTTCAATATTCTAATTACACGGCTATTAATGTGACCAAAATCGAGTTTACATCCTGGCATTACCAACAAAGGGAAATCATTCAGTTGAATTAATTCCAAATAAGTCAAATACACGAACACCAACAGCTTATATTAGTTTTGCTCTATTTAATTATGAAAGCTAATGAACCATGAACATTCTTACTTTCTGAATAATAACAACTGTGTTATTTATTCTATTTCCTTCACGAACCACTATGGTGTGCATAATCGAGATTCCGATCACATTTTTTTCAACCATTGTCAGTTCCTAATTGAATAAACTATCGAAACCTTCACCATAAGCAAATAGGAGATTCACAGATCACATGACATGTTACTCATCTTCTTTTACAGATGAAATGTATCAGTCTTCATAATCTTCAAATTACTAGATATAATTCAGTATTGCAGATTATTTGGGATGTTCTGTCCTCGTCTCTTTAAAATAAAATATCAATATTATTTCAATATACGTGTAGTAAGGACGAATCAGATGATTTGCCCAAAAATGTCACTGCGTTCATAGAATTTTTCTATCAGAGCCTAAGAGAAAAATTCACTAGCTTGTCAGTGACAATTTGTATTGAAAAAGGTTTGGAGAAGAGAAATCAAGGTATATAGAAAAAATATCGACTTTTTACTTATCTTTGGACGTTTCGGGAACGAAGCTGCTCCCGTTTTCAACATGAAAAATGGATTTTTGTATGGCAAATTCGTATTTTTCTTGACACGTCTCAGTTTCCAGTGACAATTCGTGACGTTGGCAATCGAATGAGTTACAGGATGTTTCCCTTATTCAATCTTGAATTTACCATTTTCATTTTCATTTCATTTTCATTTTCAGATTGCCATGTTCTATCTATATCAACTGAACAGGAAACAATGCTATTGTCTCCGTTCAAAAGAATGCAAGATTCCTTGATTTTTCTCTTCTGGTTGTTATCTTCTTTATTTAATCAATGAAACCATCCTGTAACTCATTTGATTGCCAACGTTACCAATTGTCACTGAGCACTGAGAAGTGCCAAGAAAAATACGAATTTGCCATACAAAAATCCCTTTTTCATGTTGAAAACGGGAGCCAATTCGTTCCCGGAACGTCCAAAGATAAGTAAAAAGTCGATATTTTTTCTATACATATACTTTTATTTCCCTCCTCCGAACCTTTCTCAATACAAATTGTCACTGACAAGATAGTGAATTTTTCTTTTAGGCACTCTGATAGGAAAATTCTTTGACTATTTGCCCTTAATACACGTATATTGAAATAATATTGATATATTATTTTATAGAGACGAGGAGAAAAATTCCCAAATATCTGGGATATTGAATGTACCACCTCCTCGCTTAACCTATCAAAAAGTATTCACTAGATATAAAATTTTTAAATTCTCATTAACAGTGATTTCTTTGGACCTGAAATATTTTTTTTACAATCAACAAAAAGTTAGTCAAGTCTTATTTGCCCTAAAATTATTCATTCAACCTCGTAACACACAGTTTCTAAGTTGTCAGTTACTTTGAATTTCATTAGGAATCATGGTTGTCACCGATGATCTTTCGATAGTAGAAACACATCTGAACTCAATAGGTACAAATTTTCAGTCTGTAAATGTTTTCTCAAAAATGAGGAAGCCATACAACATATCTCAGGAGCCAAAGAAGGTTGATTAATTAAAAAAATATATAATTCGCAATAAAACAACTGTGTTTAACTTTTCATGCAATAGATTCAAAGATACCTATAATAGGACCCACCAACTACATCCATAAACTTATCCACAATGAAATCGATTCATCAACTTTGTTGTCTTTCTTAAATTTCAATGTACCTACCTCGCTCAGTCTCTACAACTAGCCTAACTTTCCATATTGATGTACCTAATTCGCAGCATTATTTTCAAAATGGTATTGATTATATGTTTAGATGTTTCAATAATTTACCCTCAGTAGATATATTTTTTTTGAGTTCTGGTCACTTCAAAAGAGCTCTGTATAGGCTCATATCAAACTAACATAATCATTAGTTGAAGTAGTGTTCTTATTTTCTATTCATTATCATACTCATAGATATTTATGTTATAGTCATAGTGTTATACTATGCTTTGATAAGTCTGTGATGCACATTCTCCTTTTGTTATATACTCCTGTAATTGGACTTTTAGTCTGTTGGATGTATTACTTCAATAAATAAATAAATAAATAAATAAATAAATGAAAGATTAATTGGAATTGGCCAAATTTTTTTAGATATTGATGGAAAACAATTTTCCAAAGAGACTTCAACATCCCGTGTATCGGAAAGAAGCCTTATAGGACATACATTTATAGACATTTTGTCTTCTATTTTGGCAGGAGGAATCCATTATGCGTTTCGTTTTTTTAGAGTTTTTTGTGAATCTAAAGGGGTCCATTTTAGGCGAATGGGCAACAACATTCAAATGCGTGAATTCAATTTGAATTTGCATTTAAATGAAATAGTAGTAATTCAACATAAATGCTATATGAAGACCACAGGGGTAAAAGAAAAAGGGGGAATGTCCACAATATAGTGGAAATTAACTTGACACCGCCACCTGATGGCCTAAACCTTTATATTTTAGTATAAACAGAAGTCCATAGCGATAACGCAGCATAGTCAGCTAATATGCTCGTTCTAAAATACGTTCACATGGAAAAAACGCGGAATGTCCACTTCAAAAATGTAAAGAAAGGGGAACGTCCAAGCTTAGTGCTTGCTTGAATACAAATACAGATTCCATTGTGATTTCAATAGGTTGTTTTCACACTGTCGAAAGGTCAAAGTGAACTCTCAGACAAATTAAATATGAGAAAGAAAAGAGATGAACGCACCTTTTTCCATCTCTTGGAGCGTACCAAAGGGAATCCCTATAATGTATGGAGAACATTGTGGGTACCTAGGGGGGATATATAGGGAGAGGAGATGAACTTGTATTTTCTGAATGAAACACTCTATATTTTATTTTATAATCGATAAAGCCCATTCTTCTGATTTGAAATATACAGGGTGTCCCCAAAAGTATTCGAAGGCAGCTGTTGAATCAAGCATTATCGCCTGAACTTCCACACCTGCATTAGATCTTCACCAGAATTTTTTTAAAAACTGGCAAGAGATAACCTCAATAAGCTATATATATTTGAAATCAGAATGAAGAGTTTCACTGTTTAGCAAAAATACCAGTTGATGTAAAGTTTTTAGGTTTACGATGATTTTTTGAATTTTCTAGTACTAGACTCTGAATGTCCGCAAAAAATACTTAATTTTTACCCATTTGAACGTTATTGTGAGAGCAATATTAATTGTGATACCTAGCTATTGAGTAAAATATGAACAATCACCCTGTATCGCTGACGACTTTCCGTCGTGTTACAGCGGAAACATTTTGTTGGTTTCTGAATTTATTTTGTGAAATCTAGAAACAATAAAAAAACTCAGTGTCTTCTCTCCTTTGGATGAAAATTAGTATTCCAGCCTACTTCCTCAAACATTGAATGAATTCATAAGCGTCTCACTCAATGCCACCGATCTCCGACACTGTCCAATTTTTATATTGACCACTTTCATTGTTGCGATGCAATCTAATCACTCTCTCCCATTCCCACGGGGTGTTCGATGTAAAATTCACTGGGCAAACACAAGCACGACATGTCAGTGCTATGGTCACCATATCGGCGATCAAGCTACTGTTGCTCTCCGCAGTGCTCCGCTTCTGTGATTCCATGCCACAACAAGGTAAAACGTGCTAGTAGGCTTTGGATTCAAGGCCGTCGGTGCGCTTTGGTACGCACCAAAGAAAGTGATTTGTGATTTATCGAGTGATTTACGGTTTTGCGATGGTGGTTCAATTTTCATTAGATGATTCAAATGTTCATCTTCCATAATATATGTATGTATGTGTGTAGATGAGGGTGATGTGTACACTGCAACCCATGTGATTGTGTCTCTCCTTCTTCCTATGCGTACTAGGACTTCTCAATAATAGCTGTTTCCGACTCCTATTCTCCTCAAACCTCAAACAGCTTAGGATATTTTGAAAGGAGACTATCCTATTTTTTTTATGTTCTGGTTCTCACGAAAAAGGATATCCTGTAATGTTCAGAGAACATCGTGAGAACCAAGGAAAATAGGTATTCCTCTTAAATTTCTGGAGGTTATATGCCTCGGGCAACACCTCCCTTGGAAATGTGTTCCAGAGCCTCGCTGTTCGCTGGATGAACGAGTCTTTAGAAAGAGATGTTCTGCAGATCTCTAAAGTGACCACGAAGGATGCGAAGCCTCAACTCGACGGGTTAATCTCGCGTGGACTGCCAAGGGAGGAACAATTGTTGATATTTCAGAAGAGCATCGTCCATGAAAATATCTATAAAATAGAGCCAGATCGCCAACTTTTCTAAGGTGTTCCAGAGAAGTCAGTGAGTTTGTGAGCGAGGCATCACCCACGAGACGAATTGCTCTTTTTTAGACAGAATCCAACAGTTTCAAGGTATGTTTGGGTGCTGCACTCCAAATATGGAAACAGTATTCTAGGACGGGTCTTATCTGTGCCATATAGATCATAAGTAGGTGACTGGAAGTGAAATAGGTCCTGGCCCGAAACAGAAAACCAAGTTTTTGTGATGCACTTTTAGCAATCGATCTCATGCACGTGATTTTCTCAAGAAAGGTTATTGCTGATAGTAATACCAAGCATCGAAATGGATATCTTCAAAGGTATGGGTACTCCTGAGAAGCTTATGTTGGGCAGAGTGAGATCGGCTTTTCTAGAGAAAAGGCATGCTTGTGTTCCGTTTGCATTGAGTTGTCCCAAGTTATTGGATCACCATTCGAAAATTGTTGCCAAGTCCATATTTATGTTTTCAACATTTCTCCCTCGTTCGTTTCTGTTTTCCTTGGCTGGTATTGGAGCCCTGGAAGAGAAGGCGGTATGGAGGGTACTATCATCCGCGTGTGATGTGGAATGGTTTCAAAGAGGTTAGATCTCCTTAACTGTATTGTGCTCCTAGACAGAGCGACCTTGCGTTGCGAAGAGATACACAGTTCAAGAGGATGTGGATGGAGGTTTTGTCCTCTTCCTCACAGAATCTGCACAGAGGGTGTGGTGTACACTGCAATCCATGCGATCTATTGTGTCCCCTCGATCTTTTTGCTATGTGTACTAGGATTTCTCAATAATTGCCGTTCTTCTAATCCTTTTCCCCTCAAGAAGTCAAGGATATGGCATGCTTTCAAAGATGGCAGATCTCCTTCTATTTCATTTGCTCCTAGACAGACTGCTCTTGGGTTGCGAGCTGAACACTGCTCGAGTGGTTGTGGATGGAGGTTTTGTCCTCTTCCTCACAGAATCTGCACTGAGGATGAAGTGTACACTGCGACCCATGTGATCTATTGTGTCCCTACTTTTTCCTATGCGTACTAGGACTTCTCAATAATAGGTTTTCCTCTATAATCCTATTCTGAGCCAAAACAGAAGTCAGATCAGACATGTGTCGGGACTGATAAGCGGTCATTGCCCCTTGTGGAAGCATATTTTTTTTATCATGTTCTGGTTCCCACGAAAAGGGATATTCTGTGATGTTCATAGAGAATCGTGAGAACCAAGGGAAATAAGGTAGGAATTGGCGTTCTTCTTAAATTTCTGGAGGTTATATGCCTCGGGGAATACCTCCCTTGGCAATGTGTTCCAGAGCCTCGCTGCTCGTTGGATGAACGAGTCTTCGGAAAGAGATGTTTTGTAGGTCTCCAAAGTGACCACGAAGGGGTGCGAAGCCTCAACTCGACGGGTTAATCTCGCAGGGACAAGGAAGGAACAATTGTTGATATTTCAGAAGAGCTTCGTCCATGGAAATATCTATGAAATAGAGCCAGATCGTCAACTTTTCTACGGTGTTCCAGAGAAGTGAGTGAGTTTGTGAGCGAGGCATCATCCACGAGACGAATTGCCGTTTTTTGGACAGAATTCAACAGTCTGTGACTTATAGATCATAAGCAGCTGACTGGGCATATATGCAGACTATGCAATGAGGAAACGTCTACCCATGTACTAATGCGGTGCGAGGCACTAGCTCGTTGGAGAATCAATCTTCTGGGAGCACTAAACTCACACGAGGTTTTTCCAACGAAAGATTTGGTTGGGATCCAAACCTTGACTGGTCATTCTGCTATCAATCAATCAATCCTATCATCCTCAAAAAATTATGATATGGGATGGTTTCGAATATGGTAGATCTCCTTCTTCTATTCCATTTGCTCCTAGACAGAGCGCCCTTGCGTTGTGAAGAGATACACAGTTCGAGAGGATGTGGATGGTGGTTTCGTCCTCTTCCTGAAAAAAATCTGCACTCTGCTTCCTCTACTATCAAGTGTTTCTTCAGATGTCCTCTCAATCGACAGTGTCCTGATAGGACTCCAGTTAGTATTGGGATCTTATTTTTACTTAGCTTAGGTTGATGCATTCGGTAGATCTTTTCTGGTTGTGGGTTCCTATCAGGAGTGTCTTCGATTGTCTCATACCTTGTAGATTCTGCTTATATCTGGAACACCTTAGAAAAGTTAGCGATCTGGCTCTATTTTATAGATATTTTCATGGACGATGCTCTTCTGGAATATCAACAATTGTTCCTCCCTTGGCAGTCCCCGCGAGATTAACCCGTTGAGTTGAGGCTTCGCACCCCTTCGTGGTCACTTTGGAAGCCTGCAGAACATCTCTCTCCTAAGACTCGTTCATCCAACGAACAGCTAGGCTCTGGCACACATTGCCTAGGGAGGTGTTCCCCGAGGCATATAACTTCCAGAAATTTAAGAAGAACACCATTTCCTACATTATTTTTCTTGGTTCTCACGATGTTCTCTGAACATTACAGGATATCCTTTTTCGTGGAGACCAGAACATAAAGAAAATTGGTACACGTAGTAGTAGTACCTAGTTTCCTTCGTTTTTCATGATTTGAAAAATGACAGTGTTTCACTTCTGTTATTCCATGTTGGACAAGGTGAAACGTGCTATAGTAGGCTTTGGATTCAAGGCCGTTGGTGCGTCGTTGGTATGCACCAAAGAAAGTGACTTGTGATTTATCGAGTGATTAACGGTTTTGGAATCTGTGGTTCAATTCGGCTCAACAGGCAAGAATACCATTTTCTAGGTAAAATATGATGACGTTCATCGTAATGAGAAAGGCACTGAGAAGTCTTGGATTATTTTTCCTTCTAGATTTTTCCAAAATGAATTCTCACAGAAAGTCTTTCGTTAGAACATGAGGATAATCGTCAACGGTAGTTCCAATAATGAAATAGAATAGTTTATTCATTCAGAAGACCATTATACAATTATATAAGAAAAGTCAGTTCACAAGATGATTACATGTATACACATTCATGAATATTACGAAACAAAGTATGTACATTTACATTACTAAACTGAAATAAAAATATAGATACAAATATATGAAACTAGGAATCCATTGAATCAAATTATATATCTGAGGATTGTGTACATGGTTTGAAGTCGTCACATGAGTCAAAACCTTGACTACTGAGGAATTCTTTCATTTTGTGTTTCACTTTTTTTGTGTCCGTGTGTTATCTTGATATCCAATCATCTACAGAACTGTAATTCTGTGTATTTTTGTTGAACGAATCATTTTTCTGATATGCAGAATTTCGAACGACTATAACACTGAAAACTACTGGCATGCAGTCAGACAACAATTTGCAATAAATCTGAAAACACACAATATTTCCGAAACAGATGAGGATGGTTATGGGAAATTGTACATGAAATACGTCTAGAATTTTATGAAGATTTCATAATGACATCATAAAATAGATTTGTCATAAGAAAATTCATAATGGAATTTCGGAACTTGGAGTGTGTTGATTGATTCTTTATCTCTCCAGGTAATTGGTTAGGGACTCTTAGGCCAGTTGAAAGTGGTCCACTTGAAGATATTTGAAGGTTATTCTGACTTGGGTATATAAACTGGTTGTATCTGGTTTGATAGCAATGTATATCCATATGCCTAGGAAGAATATTGCTGATTTTATGAATGAAGCATGCTAATACCATTATATTAAGGCATGCTAGGGGTAATATATTCAGCTCAGCAAATAGGGGTTCGCAAGAGAGTCTGGATGATAAGCCGCTGGAGAATTGACCCATATTAAAATGCCATAAAGTAAAGTGGACTTACTACTACATTCAGATAATTTAGTTCTATTTTCTGGAATAGGAAATCCTTTGAACTTTAAATGTTCACTAAACCGAGAGGGTAGCAATGAATGTTCACATTTCATTAAATTGCCTATTCTTCTGGCACTTTCTACTGATGTTTCGTGGCTTTTTCGTTACATGGAAACAACCTGTAACACTAAATGAGTGAAACTCAATACCTTCCATTGCATTAAAATTATTAACAGCACCATAGATAAAAACGAACGATCATTTTATGAGCTTCTTTCAACTCCATTCGGTTTTAATGATCCAATTTTTCATGTTCTACGCATTTCTTATTATACAATATAAAAGAAACTGGAAACGCTGGAGTGAGAAATACGTTGTGTGATATTTTCATGGATTTCTCACAAAGATAATGCAAGATTGTTCCTTTTGCTTCGTTTGCACAAAATACCTGATAACACATGTTCCACTAATCCAGTAGCTCCTTCAAGTGGAATAAACTCATTATAGGATTATTCCAGATTTTTTGCGATTTTCTCTCCTCGTTTCTATGAAATAAAAATATGAATTTTATTTCAATATACGTGTAGTAAGGACAAATCAGATGATTTGCCCTAAAATGTCACTGCGTGTAAAGAATTTTCCTATCAGATAGCCTGAAAGAAAAATTCACTAGCTTGTCAGTGACAATTTGTATTGAAAAAGGTTTGGAGAAGAGAAATAAAGGTATATAGAGGAATATCAAATTTCCACTTAGATTTGGACGTTTCGGGAACGAATCTGCTTTCGTTTTCAGCATAAAAAATGGATATTTGTATGGCAAATTCGTATTCGTCTTGATACTTCTCAGTTGATATAGATAGAACATGGTATTCACTACTCGCCCAAGTTCAATAAACTCCTGAGTGAGAGATTTGAAGCTCTTTCACACGTTTTGAATTCTCCACAAATAGTAAACTGAATTTCATGTCAAACTGTATCGGAAAAGATAATAATTAACCAGAGGTGCTTCTTCAGGGAAATGAAGCTTCCTCAGATTTCCTTCCTTTTTCTGAATCTAGAAACCACTACTTGATTATTTGATACCATTTTCAGGATATTCAGTATCTTTTTCATTACGACACATATTCACACATGTCATCGAAGAAACTCGAAGGAAATCTCTATTCAGTCGACAAAACTTTGGAATTCTTTGCCATTGGGAGTATTCCTAAGAACTCATAACCTCCAGGAGATTGTGAAAAATCCAACACCTACTTCCCCTCCTTATCCTCCCTAGGCACGCACAATTCTCTTGGAATAATAATAAACGACACAATAAGTAGCTGAAGAATAGTATCTTGTGCACGGTCCTTGGACCCAAATTCTGTTCACAATATACTTGAACACTCTACTCACCTCAGAAACATCTGGGGAAATAATTTCATTCGCGTATGATACAGTCATAGCTTACGCTGCAGATTCGTGGACTGATGTAAAAAAAGCAGAAGAAGACTTGAAAAACAATAACAAATGGTTCAAATCAAATCAATCAACAGAAAACATGAATAAAACAAAAATAATACCTCTTACTTCATACCAAACAAATTTGCCAACATTCAATTGGATTTTTGATGGTGAAGAAGTTGAGACTGCCAAAATCGTGAAGTACTTTGGAGTATTTGTCGATTCGTGTTTGAAGTGGGATATCTACATAGAGAACCTGAAAAAAAAGATCCGTTCGACTCTATAAATTCTATCAATGACGACACATACTTCCTCTTGAGAAACTGAAAACGGTATACTTTGCTATAGTAGAGTCCTTAATAAGCTATGGTAGAATAGGTTGGGGAGGAGCACGAAAATCCTTGATAGTTCTTCGAAGAAGACTATTGAAAATAATGTATTTTGAACCCCTCACATATTCATCCGATAAACTTTTCGATGAACCAAATGGCTTTTCTGTTTATTTTCTCAGCAGTCCTAATTCTCATGGAAATAAGCTTGTAACATTGTTTACTGTTTTTGTGAATAAACAACTACTATTACTACTACATTAGAGGAACTTCCTTTCGTGCGCTCCAAGAGATAAAAAAATAATTTTTATGCCATAGTGAAATCTCACGTCTACGCCACTGTCAATTAAATATATAATGTGCAATAATTCAGTAATGTAGATGGTTACGCTTCAATGCAGCTAAGTGAGAGTGAGAGTGAAAACAGTGAGTGACCCGTGGGAAAAACCTTGATGATGTTTTGAAGTAGATATCGGCGCCTACTTCACACATCACATAATCTGACCATTCACAAGACAGAGACAACTTGTGATATTGCGAAAACACTAGCTGTCTTTCTTAGAGGTGGAAAACTATCGATAGTTTCGATAGTATTTTCGAAAACTATCGATACTATCGATAGTACTATCGATCTGAAATTTTTTTCAAAAATATATTTGTCCTAATTTTTTTATTCATTTTTCTCCAGTTAGATCAATACTGGTGAAAATAAGGATATTATAAATAACATAGAACCATATCAATAGAGTCTATATGAACGATTCAGGCACGAAAGATCAGGAACCAAAATATTTGAAATATTAAAGGGGGAAAAATTAATAGCAAAATAGACATTGATTTCGACTACTTCAGGCAAGTGCGAATTCACATATTTCACAATTTTCGACAATGAACGACACTATATATCTTTATCTGAACATAGCGATTTTCATCACGTTTAAACATATTCTTCTTCATCCCGGAAAAATCTGTACATATTTTTCATCGCACCTTGTATATTCATCGTCAAGAATAAATACACATTTCATACTTCTGGAACTACAATCGTAATTTTTTGAATTTTATAATTTTTCTTAACGAAAATGCATCATTCTGATTAAAAATGCGTACCGTCATTACATGACCTTCGATCCGAAAATTTACAAAACCATTTCGAGGTCAGACTCCAGACATCCTCGAGACGAAGTAACACTCCATTATTTCACTAGTAACACAGAGAAAATTATGTTGCATCTACTGAAGACTACGTTATTCTCCATTCCATCATTCAGTATTCCTAGTATCACTTTGTATAAACTTCTTCAGATTTTTTTGTGTTTGAACACAATCACATATCCGACGACTATACATACAACGTTGATTCTTCGAAAAAATGTTCCAACTTCCAATTTCATTCAATTAATCGTCGAAAAAATGCATCATTTTGAATGAATATTCATAACACGGTTATAAAAGCTCTGAATTTGAAAATTTCGAAAACGTTTTGAGAGAAAGCATCAATCAAAGGGATACAGGTGAGAAAAAAAATCTGTTCAAACGGTACAGTGACGACCACGATGCAATTTTACACCCATTCAATTATCACCCTGCAGCAATGTTATCTGAAATAACAGAAGTATCATATTGCCACAACAAACTGTCAAGGGATTAGGCTAATCATCGGTGAAAACCGATTTCAAATTGGTAATTAAATTCGTGAGATATTCTACTTTGAATTCAGGCTAATATTTTGGACCACGACGTTATCAATGTTGACCAATAGGTATTTTTCTGGGATGATATATTGGGTCTACGACTAAATATCCCGTCCAAAAATATCCTGTCAAAAATATCCTGCTGAAAATAACCTTATCATTTATATCCTTATAAAATCATTATAATAATTTGACTGAGGAAGGGAAATGTTATTGGTCAGGCTATCATTGTCTAAATATATTAATGTGCAGGTTATTTTCGGCAGGATTTCTTTGACAGGATATTTTTGTACGGGATATTTAGTCGTGCTCCCGATATATTAACTTAGCTGTTTCATTTTTATTGACTCTTGAAATTTTAGTATTTCTGTTAGTTTTCTTGTTGATTTCTTTTTCACAATTTTTTCTCAAGACCGCCCTTGACTTCAGGTTCGAACCTCGATCTCCTGCCACTGATTTATTTGTCTAGCTTTGGAGAAAATTCTCTCGGACACAAATATAATTTCAGAGTGAGAAATAGAAGAAATCAGGAGTACCCTCATGAAAAAAAAATTGTTAGAGAGAGAAAAGAAAGAGATGAAGGGTGCCTCTATAAAACATTTTTTTGAAATTTTCAGATTGTGGGAGAAGTGTTAGAAGATCCAGACAGCCTAGAATGGGAGACCTAGGACGAATTATAAGTGGAAAACAGAGTGTTCAGGGTGCATGGCCATGGCAAGTGAGTTTTGATCTATCAATATCTGAAAAGGAATATTCTCAGATGAATTATGAACATGAAGACATTCTGTGAAATTAATTCAACAGAGCGTGCCGAAATCTGCATTTAATAGGCGTATGTGATTAACTAAAGATTGATAATGATATAGGTAATTATAATGATTAATAAGTGTCAGAATATTCTTCAGTAGATTATGAAATAGAATATGTAAATCAAATCTACTGAAAATTCCGAAGTATTTGCAGACGAAAAGTTCGTGTCTGCGGACGAAAAATACTTCGGAAATAGTCGGATTTTCGTTTTTTTTTATGTTCTGGTTCCCACGAAAAGGGATATCCTGTAATGTTCAGAGAACATCGTGAGAACGTAAAACGTGATTTTTTTAGAGGTCGACGAAAAAAATATTTTTATTATTCTGTAGTTTTCCGTATCTCAATGATGTGAGCTCTAAGATGTAACCAAACAAACTCTTGAAATTTCATCACTTCGTAGCTGCTTGAAAACGAAAGAGTTTTGAGCATTTTTGTAATCTTTTGGAGCGCACGAAAGGGAATCCCTATAATGTTCGAAGAACATCGTGCGTGCCTAAGAAGTCTAGTTGCGTAGGTATGTGTTTTTAACTGTTTTTGTTTATTTCATTTTTGAATTGATGGATAAGAAATTGTTTTGCATATATTTGTCTTATATTCAGTATATTGATAGAATTTGATTCAGTATATAATTTGGATGTTGAATAATAATTGTCCTTGCATAAGAATATTTTTAGGAACCTTTTCTGGACTTGTATAAGTGGTTTAATGCTTGTTTCATTTGCTCCACCCCAGATCAATATATCATATCTCGTTATAGATTGAATCAAGCTATTATAAAGTGTTAGTAAAGTATTATCATATAGTGTATTGCTTAGCTTTTTGAAGCAATGTATTAGTGATCTCAGTTTTTCACGACGAGTCCTATGTGTAGATTCAAATTGAGATGACAGTGAGATGTGACTGAATATAATATGAAAATTGCCGCACAATGTTCTCCGAACATCATAGGAATTCCGTTTCGTTCGCTCCAAGAAATAAAAATATATACATAATAACTGAAATGCCACATTATGCAATCAATAATGAAAATTTTGCAGGTATCACTTCAGCTACTTCACCCACAATTCGGATTTTTGGGACACTGGTGTGGCGGAGTCATAATATCCCCGGAGTGGATATTAACTGCTGCTCATTGCATCAATAAGTGAGTATACTCGATATAATTCAGTTATGTACTTACTCGAGAAGATAACTATGTTAAAATCTTCAGGAGAAGATAATAACTAAATATACTATCGTCTAGATTCTAGAATGATGCTTCTATACTAGGTATATGTTCACCTAACCGTGAATGTGAAACACGTATCCTAAACACAGTTTACTGCTTGTGTCCCGAAATGACTAAACTATACAGATGTTGTGAGTGTGAAACTCTCTTGGCTTATTCTGAAAACTATTCTTAAGGTTTCGAATCAATTTTTTCTGCTTATGCTAACCTCCCAAGAGCTTGAAGTTATACTTACTTTTTGTTCATTGCTACTCTAGATTTGCTCGATATTCCACGAAGAAGATATGGATTTCCTTTGGTGCAATAATTTTCACTGGATTGTGATTTTATGAAAATCTTTTTTTTTTCAGTGATCTCTTCAACTTGCCAATAGGAGCCCTGTGGACTGCTGTGGTTGGAGATTGGGACCGCGAAGTTGAAGAATATTCCGAAGAAAGGATTCCAATCGAGGAAGTGATCCTACATGAACGATTCCAGAATTTTCAGCACGATATTGGTTAGTGACATATTTTTTCATAATTATGTAATTACACAAGTGATAATATTCTGCCAGAAATATTCGGCGAATGACATTATTCATCAAAACTTTCAAGCCGTAGGCGAGAAGTTTTGGAACAATGTCATGAGGGAAATCGAAAAGGCAAGCTGTCAATCGACGGATATTTCTAGGCAGAATAGTATCACGAGTTGTATTCGTATGTCTATTTCATGATTGAGACAATAAACGAGCGCCTCGCGAGAGTTGCGCTACACTGCATCCATCATTCTGGCTTCCAACATAATTGCCGTTTCAAATGTCGCTGAAAATTCCGGCTTTTGCAGTGGAAGAGCAAGTCTGAAAATTTTAAGTGAACGAAAAATATCGCTGTTATACAGGAAACACCCGTAAAAATGGTCAATTCTGATTGGTTCTCGAGAACAAAAGTGGAATAGTCGAAGAAATATCAATATCAACGAAAGACGGTTAATCAAGGAACGAATTCATTAGCAAAAAAATCACTGACAAGTTATGAATAACATATTGTTATACATATAACGATAATGAAAAATTATATCGTATTTTAACTCTGTGGGAATGTGGATTTTCAGAAAGACCGTCATAGGAATTGTGGAGGAACCAAGTTCCCCCTTCATTTTTTTTTGAAGTGTGATTTGATCTTACGAAAAAAAGAAAAAAATCCTATATACCAATTTTTTACAAACTTCCACAGTTTGGTTAGAGGTAAAAAAGTATAGTGTGACTATCGTACCAAAGGTTTCAGTCTTCGAAATGATTTCTTTTGGAGTTCATATCATTAAGGACCTTCAACTTTTGCATATAAACCGAGTCTGAAACATATAAGACTTGAACAAACAATCATGCGTCCTCTAAGTTATCCACACATTGAATCAAATCTGTGCCAAACGATATTAATTACCGCAATTATTGACTGATAGCGAATTGATCGTTTCATCATTCACCGCTATTTTGAATAACCACTGCCAGTCTCAGTCATCACCTGTTATTATTCTTTTTTGTACTTTTTTGAGGTGAACTAACATGCGAAAGTCTAGATGCAGTTTCACTAGTGAGAGTTTTAATGGAAATATAATAGCGACATCAGGAAAAAAAGAGGAATATTCTATTTCTATACGCTTTCATGTCAGTGAGAAACTATTGGAAAACTCACTTGATGTATTTTTTTGGCATTTCATTAGCAATAATCGAAGAAGCATAGCATCAAGTTTCAGTGCATTGCAATACTACAATATTGATTTACACTTCTTTATTCATCAGAGTATGCTGGAATTCTTACCAGCAGAAAATGTATTCGCTATCATCAAAGATTATAAAATTGAATTTCAAGGTGGATTTTTTTTAGGAATTCGACAGTGAAGCTTCATACTTTCAAACTTCCCACCCTTATAATTTGACTCAATTTCGAAGGCCTATTTCTTGGAAAAATGGACCGTTCTTCATGCGATTTTCGATATCAGATGTGATATTTCATCGGAAAAAGTCCTGAGAACAAAACTTACATATGATGAGAAGTGGAACCATTGAAACAATGATTAGATTTTTCTTCGAAGGTCTTGAGTTTCTTGAATTTTTTCTCTAGGACTTCACTTGAGCTGAATATTGGGGAGAACTGTTCTCATTTTTTGTGGAGGACAATGGAAGACGAAAGAAGCACCATTGTGGAATATACAGGGTGATGAAAAAATAGGACAAAATCTTATTTCGGTAAAGAAATAAAAAACGGTGACTAAAACCATATGGCCATTCGATGCAGTATACTAACTTGAACTGTCAAGGTGACAAAACTGAACGTATCATGGCTCACAAGATGTTCATTAATCATTGATGATCGCTACCATGTACGTGTTCTTGTTATCACTATACACACTATTCAAGGCATTCACTGAAGAAATATGGATGACCTCCGTATATCATAAAGAAGAAATCAGTCCTCAGTCATCACCTGATGTCTCTATAGGAAAGCATTCGATCCCGAAAATCTATCCTTGGCATCAAAATTCATGAACGTAAAATATGAAAATTTTCATCCTGTATTTCAATTAGAGGTGAAATTTCGGAAACGTCTCGAGTTAATAGTCTAATATAAATAATGGACATCGAGAAGACCTATTCTGAATATACTGAATCGGATGGGCCATGGTTTAGTCGCCGTTTTTGATTTTTTACCGAAATGAGATTTTCTCCTATTTTCTTATCATCCTGTATATTCCACAATGGTGCTTTCTTCGTCTTTCATTATCCTCCATCAAACATGAGAACAGTTCTCCCCAATATTCAGCTCAAGTGGAGTTCTAGAGAAAATATTCAAAAAATGCGAGACTTTCAAAAAAAAGATGAGATCCCAGTGTATCATAATATGACTGAATTTTGATCAGAAAACAATTTCTCCAGTTCTGGCATCATTGGAAATGTAGACTATAGTGTAATAGTTCCACTTTACACCCTGTGTAAGTTTTGTTCTACAGACTTTTTCAGAGTGTTGCAGCTCTCTTTGAAGCCGATGAAATATCACATCTGATATCGAGAGCCGCATGAAGATCGGTCAGTTTTTTCAAAAAATACAGGTCTTCGAGAAAGCATATTCTTAGTCCTCATTGTTCAACCCCCTAGGAGGGATAGATGTTACCCTCAGTAGCTCATAGGTGAAGGGGCGTTAAGATGCAGATCATTTTGAAGGATTTTCAATTTTCTTCCTGAGAGTACTCTAGTTTATAATTTTTTATAAGCGGTTTTCGAAAAATACCGATCTAAATTCACAGAAGTAATTAGAACATGATTAGTCTGAGATGCTTGGTTTTCAGGTAGGTATTCAAACAATAATTATTGTACTGACTCTTCCCTTCATAGAAATTGTTAGAGACTTAGGTGGCATCGTTCCAACTATTGAATAATAGAAATTCATCTAGCCTACGTAATTCTCGAGGTAATTCTTCATTTCTTGGTTATATTACTTTTAAGAAAAAAACTTTCAATTTGCGGCAGAGAAATGTAGTCCATACTGCTCCATACAGTGATTAACTCTGTTTATGTACTCCCCTCTAACAGTTCGGAAAACTAAACCAGGAATTTACCGGTAAGTTCATCAATATCAGCAGGTTGTGTTCTATAAACAATTGATTTCAGATGTCCCCAGAGGAAAAATTTTAGAAAGCAAAATCCAGTGATATTGGTGACCACTCAATTCTCCCTCTTCTCATGCAAAAGTAAATTATCATCTGCAATAATTTGAGTCATCTACCCCTCCTAAAGGATTGGACCATGAGGGCTGGGAATATTAATTTCAAGTGTCCCCTTCATAATAAAGTTGACCTGTCTTTTCGATTCCTCATATTATTCACTGTATTGAGATTGGCAAGTTTTCACAATGTCACCCGGTATAATGTTGTAATGATATGAAACTACCACAAATGATCATGACGCAATAACTCCAGTGAAACTGGAAGTGATGAAAGGAAAATTGTTTCATCAATTGATGGTATACTTGCTATCCACCAATTTTCATCTCCCTATCTCGAATTTTTCGAAAGTTACAGACCCAACCGTGAATAGATATCAATAACCGCCAAGTTAATGTTATTCACGGTTGACTTCACATGTTAAATATAACTGAACTATACAGGGTGATCCACGGTGGATGGCCTATTTGAAGTATCTGGAGAACATGAAGGCAGAACATTATGAAAATTGGGATGCTTTGATAATTGAACATTCTCTATACGTCTTGACTATTTTCATTGATACAGTGTTGCCACTTCTATCAGAAACAACTAGCAACTTTGTTATTTCAAATAGAACATCCTGTATTTCATTGCATTTTCAGATTCTTCCTGAAGAGCTGATTTTATCGATGTATCACACTTGAGGTCTAGTAAAAATGATAAGGGTGTTCGAAATCGAGATTTTCAAATTTTAGGATTTTTTTGTGTCGAAATTGTTCATTATCTATCGAAACGGCTTAAATGTCCCTATGTTAACTTTCGATTCACTATCTACTGACATTTAATTGGAACAGATACAGGATGACCATAATTCTGAATCTTGAACCAACCTGTATTGTGTCCAATTGAATTCTAGTAGATAGTGAATAAAAAGTTAATATAGGGACATGTAAACCGTTTTAATTGATTATGAATATTTTCGACAGAAAAAAATCCTAAAATTGGAAAATATCGATTTTGAACACCCTATATCTCTGTAATAATTCCTACTAGACCCTGAGTGTTATACATTGATGAAATCATCTTTTTAGGATGAATCTAAAAACGAAATGAAATACAGGATGTTCCATTTGAAATAACAAAGTTGCTAGTTGCTTTTGATAGAAGTGGCAACACTGTATCGATGGAAATATTTTAGACGGATAGAGAATGTTCAATTATCAAAGCATCCCAATTTTCAGAATGTTCTGTTTTTTCGTTATCCACATACTTCTAATAGGCCATCCACCGTGGATCACCCTGTATGGAATAGGTCCATTATCCTTATTCATTTCTCTATAACTATTCTCAAATATCTCTGAGCTTTCAAATGCATCTAATTTACTAACATGTGTTCGGCTACACACGATTTATCTAACCTATCATATTTCAAATGTGCTATCTTCGTTGTTGATGTGTTTGCAGCTCTGATGAAACTAGCCAGACCAATAAAAATGACGAAAAAGAGTCGTATAAGAGCAGTGTGCTTACCAACCAAAAGACTCCATCACAACCAAACAGATTTTTGTGTGGCCACAGGATGGGGACGTTCTGCAGAAGATGGAATGCTTTCTGGAAGGTAAGGAACCACGTGATAGTGAATGCTATAAGGTAGAAGACCACCCCTAGAGGATGTTTTTCAAATATTTTTTGAAGATGTCTCCAGATTTCCAAAGTTATCTACTAACTCAACTCCAGCAAACCAGATTTGAACTTCATTGAGAGACAATGATCTTCAGGTCTCCTCGCCAAGCTTCCATCTTATGGCTTGCCTCCCCAGCTATGTTCTCTGCTAGCTAGTTTTCTCTCAAACAGGTCTCTCCATGTAGTGGTCGACGGAGTTTCATCTGACTCTCTTATCATAAATGCTGGTGTTCCGCAAGGATTAATTCTAGCACCAACACTATTTCTACTCCTCATCAACGATTTGTTGAAAGCAACTTCATGTCCAGTACACAGCTTCGCGGATGATAGTACCCTCCATACCGCCTTCTCTTCTAGGGCTCCAATACCAGCCAGGCAAATCAGAAACGAACGAGGAAGAAATGTTGACAACATAAATATGGACTTGGTAACAATTCTCGAATGGGGATCCAATAACTTGGTAGATTTCAATGTAAACAAAACACGAGCATGCCTTTTTTCTAGAGAAGCCGATCTCACTGTGCCCAACATAAGCTTGTCAGGGGTAACCATACCTTTGAAGACAGCCATTTCGATGCTTGGTATTACTATCAGCAATAAACTTCCTTGAGAAAATCACGTGACATCAATTGCTGAAACTCCATACTGAAAACTTGGTTTTCTGTTTCGGGCCAGAAGCTATTTCACTTCCAGTCAGCTGATTATGATCTATAAGGCACAGATCCGACCTGTCCTGGAATACTGTTCCCATATTTGGAGTGCAGCACCCAAATATACCCTGAAACTGTTGGATCCTGTCCAAAAAAGGGCAATTCGTCTCGTGGGTGATGCCTCGATCACAAACTCATTCACTTCTCTGGAACACCGTAGAAAAGTTGGCGATCTGGCTCTATTTCATAAATATTTTCATGGAAGATGCTCTTCTGAAATATCATCAATTGTTCCTCCCTTGGCAGTCCCCGCGAGATTAACCCGTCGAGTTGAGGCTTCGCACCTCTTCGTGGTCACATTGGAGACCTGCCGAATATCTGTTTCTAAAGACTCGTTCATCCAACGAACAGCGAGGCTCTGGGACACATTGCCAAGGGAGGTGTTCCCTGAGGCATGAAACCTCCAGAAATTTAAGGAGACCACGTATTCCTACCTTATTGCCCTTGGTTCTCACGATGTTCTCTGAACATTACAGAATATCCCTTTTCGTGGGAACCAGAACATAAAGGAGGTACTTTCTTCAAAGTGGTAGTTGACTCATGTGTTTTCAGGCGACTGATATTACAGAAAAGTAATCTGAATACAACTGGTTCGCCGAAGATACATAAAGACAGCAAAAGTGGAAAGATAAACCATCAAAAATCCCATCCTTCATCTGAGACTATAGGAAACAACTCTTGAATGAAGGAATATGTTTTCCTCAGCAGCATTCCTCGATATCCCGTCTTTCTTCACTCTATCTAATTCAGTGATATTGATCCCTTAGGACTTTATGTGGAGTGTTAGAGTACATAGCCTTCTGGATAAATCTCTGGTGGTCCATATAATCAGTTTGGGATCGTGTTTGATTATCGCATGATGTGTTTTAGCTGTAGTACACAATGATTGCATAGGATATGTTTCTGTTTCTTTGATGCCTTTTGGCGCAGTCAACGTCTTCATAAGACAGTGTAACTAAGGATTTCTAGTACGCATCTGAGTCTTGTCTAGTGTTGATTGGACTATAATATTTTGTAGCTGAAACAGAGTTCTTCAACCATTACATCCCCCAGTGTGAAGAAGATATATGTCATGATTCAGAGAGAGCAACTATACAGAGAGCTGCCATTTAACAGGGTTTTTAAAACATTATTCGGTTCATTTCATATGGAAAAATGATTGGAAATTATTCCAAGAATATCTGACATCTACTGAACTGGTTATATTTCCATATCTTGCTATATTATTCCAGGGAACGAGTTTTATACTCATTCCGCAAATCTAACAGTTCCCTTTGTTGAACTTCAGCAAATCTGGCGAAATATATATATTTGTCAGTCATCTGGTAAAAACCACATTAGAGATCAACGAAATACCCTTACATAAAATAAGTATTGTATATAGAGATTACCGGAGATAACTTTTCGGTATTTGAGCTCAGACCGAATTGGGTTATTCCAATATTCCAATAATGTCAGTGCTTCCATCTGAGCAGTGCTGGATGAATCAGAACATTAATCGATCTGAAAGCATGTATAGGATTCCTTTCTCGCCATTGAAATTTACCAGTTTTTTTATCTACCATTTGCATCATAACTTTATTCCTGTTCGTTTGTGCTTGCACTATCTGCTGAACTATGGGAAAAAATCTTCCATTTATCTACTCACGGCATCGAAAGTAAGCGTTTGGTCCCTCAACTTGCTTCGTTTTCGAGATACAGGGTATTAATATTTCCATTAAAAATATTACTTCTATTCATTTCTCAATTGCCTTTCCATCAATTTCAATAAAACTTGTGCTTTCTTAATAGAAATATGGAGCTTCTTCTAGTGCAATTAGATACTAAATAATATTTCCAGTGGCGTCACAGTGGGTAACTTCATCGATATTCATGGTAAATCTTATTGTACACCACCGGTTTTCTGAGTTTCATATTTGAAATAACTTTTTTATCCTCTGTGTGATTTTTGTATCTAGCTTAGTTTTTGAGGAAACAAAAAATTCGATTTGACCCCAAAGGACCACGCACACATTATATGGGAAAATGTCTTTCGGTGAAAATGGCTGGATTTTTGATATGTTGTAGCTGTAGTCATTCTATGTAAAATTCACGATTTTCCCAACTCGATCGTATGACCAGATTCGGTGCTAGAGGGTGAAACATCATGAATTTTGTGTATTTTTGAGTCTTCGAAGCTTAATGAAGAATATGAAAATCTCGTAATTTGCATTCACTCTACCAAAATTCATCAAAGATAGATATGTTTCAAGGTTACAGAAAGCATGTAGTAGCCTTTTCACAAGGTGGTCAATAATAAACTGATTTTCAGAAAATCCGAATGCCATCGCCTATATGTGAAAGCTGATTTATTGAGTTCATCAATGGCGATCGATCAGAATAAACGTTGATCGAAGAAAAGAAAATGATAATCAATGATACAGAGTGATCTGAATAACAGAAATTGCCAATATACTCATGGCCGTAACAGCAAAGTGAACATAGAGTAATGACGAATGTTCGTATAACTTCTCATTGTATTTCGTCGGAAAGAATTCAGACAATGACATCAGAAGACATATTCAGGACTATGCCATGATTCAATCATCTGAATGAGTATATTGGCAACTTCTGTTATTCAGATCACTCTGCATCCATGATCATCATTTTCTTCTCTTCCATCAACGTTTATTCTGATCGATCGCCATTGATGAACTCAATAAATCAGCTTTCTCATATAGGCGATGGCATTCGGATTTTCTGAAAATCAGTTTATTGTTGACCACCCTGTGAATAGGCTACTACATTCTTTCTGTAACCTTGAAACATATCTATCTTTAATGAATTCTGGTGGGGTGAATGCATATCACGAGATTTTCATATTCTTCATTAAGCTTCCAAGACTAAAAAATACACAAAATTCATGATGTTTCACCCTCTAGCGCCGAATCTGGTCATACGATAGAGTTGGGCCGATGGAGTCTCTTACTTAGAATGACTACAGCTACAACATATCAAAAATCCAGCCATTTTCACCGAAAGACATTTTCCCATATACAATGTCTTTCAAAAGTATCGGAACGGTCTCATATTTCAGGAACGGCTTGAGAAAAATTCCCAAAATTTTCTACAGGGTGATTATTGATGATGTCCGATTCAATGGTGGCATCGGCAATGTTGCCAAGTTCACAGTTTTTCAGATATCAGGAGTAACTTTATTTTTTCAAATGGAATACCCGATTTATTTTTATTGCAATTAATTGAGCGCCTCCTAATTACTCGAGTCCCTGAATATCAGATTCGTAATTAACGTGATTTTCGAAATATGACAACATAGCATTTTCGTTAAAAAGTTCTAGAACGGTCCCATATTTCAGAAACGGCTCAGAGAAAATTCATGAAAACTTCGACAGGATGGTTGTTGATGATCCCCGATTCAATGGTGATATCGGCAATGTTGCCAAATCAACAGTTTTTCAGATACTTAGGGTAACTCAATTTTTTCAAATGGAATACCCTATTTGTTTTCATTGCAATACATTCAGCGATGCCTCATTACTTATGTCTTCAAATATCAGATTTCAAATTGAAGTGGTTTTCGAAATATGACATGACAACATGGCATTTTCGTTCAAAAGTCTGGGAACCTTCTAATATTTTCAATACGGTTAAAGGAAAATTCATGAAATTACACGTTAATTACAAATCTAATATTCAGGGACTCAAGTAATTAGGAGGCGCTTAATTAATTGCAATAAAAATAAATGGGGTATTCCATTTGAAAAAATTGAGTTACTCCTAATATCTGAAAAACTGTGAACTTGGCAACATTGCCGATGCCACCATTGAATCGGACATCATCAATAATCACCCTGTAGAAAATTTCGTGAATTTTTCTCAAGCCGTTCCTGAAATATGAGACCGTTCCGATACTTTTGAAAGACACTGTAATGTGTGCGTGGTCCTTTAATGTAGGTGTTTTCAAGACTTCCACTGAGATTACTCAATAAGAATTAAAATGATTGCAGTAACAAGTCCGGAAAATACTGTTTTTTGGACGGATAGACAAAATCCTAGGCCGAGCCGTAGGCGAGTCCTGAAAGTCTGCGAGTTCAAAAAAACTGTTTTTGGACCTGTTACGTATACACTATTTTTTCGGCAACCATGTAGGATGACAACTCAATGAGACACATTTCCATATTATATTTCATTGTATTATACAATTTCTTCTTTATTAATTCTCATCTGTATCAAATATTGAAATTTGAACAGAATATTTATACCTACCAACTGTTACAATGCAAATTTCGTATGGACATTTCTAACCTACTATCGCAGCTGCTTTCGATAGTTCGTTGCGATAATTGCAATCAAACTCTCAAAAATCAAAACGTCAACTAATTTCATGTCAAATAGCTGTCAGCCGATATTTCGCTGCTATGGTAATTATCATCTGCATTTATCAAAACCATATCTATCAAGATTTTCATAGTTACAGTGACAACAACGATGTGATACTTCCCGGCCTAAGTACGTACTTCCCGGAAAAATGTTAATTTCTCAAAGAAAAAGCGTCCGGGAAGTGAGCTTTCGCCGAAAAAAGTTATTCCGCGGCCTATAGTGTAGTAGATATGCGATAAAAAATGGTCTCAGGTGGAAATAATTCCCACAAAATTTTTTGTTGCTTTTCTCAGTTTAGAATAGATAGAATAACACATATGAGAAAATATAGAATGATACCTTTGTGCAGAATAAAAATACAGTGTTTCCAATATTCGTTTATTCGTTAATACGTTCAAATCATGAACCATATTTGGCATGTAACATATCAATTATTGTACAATACTGTGCAAAATATTCCGTATCGTCGACATTTACATCTGGTTCCACAAGGTTCATCTACTTCACTTTTGCAAGTACTTCCGTACGTCATCATATGATACGGAAAACCCAAGATTATGAAGTTCATCGACAAGTAACCGAGATCGGAAATCTCGATGATACTGCACAACAACACCTAGATGAATTGAACTTATGATAGATCGTGGCCTTGCAGTTTGCATTAGTGCCTGTTCAATCGAATTTTTCTTCAAACTTGAGGATTTTTTGTTGATTATTATATCCAAGAATGTTTTCAAAATGTCGGGTAAAAGCTTATTATTTTCCTGCTCGGAACTTATTTCTTCTGGTGGAGGATAAAACTCCAAGGATGTTCTCATCAACTTGATTGAATTCTTAATCAGTTTAGCTGTTGCTTCAACTATCCGAAATTTTTCAGCATTAGGATCTTCTGATAATCACAAATTATATTGGCAACTGTTTTCCCTGTTACGATCATATTAGCTTTACCTTTTTTGTCTCAATATCATGTCATCCGAGAAATATTTTTTATGCATACGACGAACAGTGTAAGGTTCGATATTTTCCAGCAGCAGCTCTGCCATTTTGTCCAGCAACTCCTGAACTGAAATTGGTTCATAATTTTTCTTGAGCCACCTGCATATTTCTAAAAAGGCATCTTCTTTATTTTTATCAGAAGGACGTTGTGCTAACTTCGTCTGTTTATTGGGAATATCATGTTGATGTTTCTTAGGAATAGAGTAGTCTTTTCCAAAATTCACACTACATTTCTGATTATACAGAGCATCTGCTGCTGGCAAGTATGAATAACGGAAAGAAAACGTGCAAGGACATTCGATGATCAAAAATCGTTTCTGGCATCACACACATCTATAATAGTTTGTCGAAACGCAAAAGTTCGTACTGGTAAAATTGCAGATTTAATTATTTCCTCAGTTTCCCTGATGAATTGGCCACAACATAAGCAATTATCTTTGAACGCGAATGTCGGCAGCTCAGATCACAAAGCTCTATTGCTGCTGCTGCTGCTGCTGCTGCTACTAGTTGATGTTTCTCTATCAGGATCTGATTTGAACCTGAGATCATTCTTCATTTTGTTCCGATTTACGTACAAACGACGACATTCGACGTGAACAATTAGAGGATGAATAGGCACTGGTTCCAAGCACTTATAATTCCTTGGACACCTTTAGCAGTCAATTTAACACAATTCGAACTATCATCAGAACTCAACGAAAATAACAAACATTTGTTATCTTCCATCACTGCTTTCAATTCACTATATTCAGATATACCTGGAATGAAATATGAAATAATGGAACCTTTCATTCACGATCACAGAGAATAGTTTCAATCACATACCAAAATGATTGTTTCACACCTCGACACGAATTTTGAGATCTGCTAACCATATTATCATTTTTAGGGAGATTATGAAATTCGTTTGAATCTCATCCTGAAGATCCTAACATAGGTAGCGGAGCATGTGTTGAGTTGTGAAAAAATCATTTCGGTTTGGGCACCTGAAATATGAAAAGTTGCATTAAAACATTTTTGCATGAAAGAATGCATCTATATTTTTAATATAGTATATGGGGTCGAATGAGGCTTCAGAAAATGAAAACTGCGTTTTTGTGGAAATTATTTCCACCCCAATTCCTCCAACTGCTCTACTACTATAGGCATACAAATAACTATTGTGTACATTCAAACATGCCATTTCTCTTTGAACGCTGTGGCTTCGTAAAATAAATTGAACTGCTGTTGATTTGAATGCAATAATATATTCATTCGTTATTATTTATTTCAATATAATTTTGACGATTGCATGAAAGATACTGTGTATACCATGGGCGCGAAATACCATTTTGGCGTGCTGAGAGAAAAGTTATCACTGAGGCCATTTCCAGCCGAGGCAAGATAGTCTTGAGGCATACAAATAACAATTCTTTAGGTTACTCGAATCCAGGGTTCCTGTCCATGACAATGCCATCTGCAGGAAAAAATATGGACATGCGGTACATATCAGATCTGGACACTTGTGTGCTGGACACTTGGATGGATCGAGCGGAACATGTGTGGTAAGATTGAAATTTTCTTCCAAAAACTGACTGGTTATTATTGAAGTATACGGCAATCGCAATCATTCATATCTTGACAAAGGGTCAATTTCGATATTCTGAAGAATTTGAAAAATAGCATTAACACGTTGGCTACCATATGACTCTCATGTGATGCACACTCTCATTTGCTCTACAAACCACCGTAAAAAATCGCATACTTCCTCTCTGTACCAAGTGAAGAATCAAACTCAAAACGTAGCCTTTCGCTACAAGATGTCGCTATATTGTATTTTGAAGCAGATGCCTTTATCTCGATAGAGTTTGCTGAAAGATCACCGGTGATTCACATGGTACATAAATGAACCATTTCATTAAATGATTGTAGGGAACTCCTTATATTTTGTTGTTTTTTCTTCGATTATAAGCGCCTTCATTCATACCTTCATAAGGAAATAATGGACAATTGAGACGAAAAACGTATTTCGAGGAGTACGCAAAAATTCAAAGATGGCAGCAAAACATACAAAATTGGTTACCACCTTTTACGCGGAATGCCCCGAGAAACCTTCATACTGTTTGGACTGTTTTCAAAAAAAAACATTAGTATTTTCTTTGTACAATGATTATTGATAAGATTATTTTTTACTTATGAGTGTGACAATTTCAATAAAAAATTGACAAGAGAGTGAGCGGTGCGTCTCTTCATCAGAATAATCCAGTCAATTTCGATAGGCATTTTCCAGATCTATGTGTATCACTGGTGATACCCACTTCAACCCGATATTATTTGGTTCATACCTGTACCATACCCACATTCTAATTCCTTCGTTTATACACTAGGCTTCTCTACAAGCATTCAAATAATATGTGTTCATTATCACTGGTGATACATAAAGTACAGAAGTGAACTATGAAAGAGCATCACCGGTGATACATATGGTACCCTGGGTCAGAATGTTGAAATCAGGCTTGGTAGTCAACGTGTAGGTATGTTCATGCTTGTACGAATTCCGCAAAACTCATGCGAATCGCAAAATATGAAATTTCCGACAGAATTCATACTCATGCGACAAAATATGCACGAGATAATAAGGGTTCTGTTGTTATACATATTAATTTCTTTATCTCCCGTCCCACCAATGATAGAAGTTCATCAAATTTAAAGCACGTTACACGAAATTGAAAATATTTATTAGGGTCATTCAGTCTCATTTATCGAACGAGTCTGTATACTAATCTCCATTCATTTTTCGGCATTTAAAAATGCTTCGAACAGTACAGCTCCTTTTTATGCTTCTGGATACATCATTAGTTCTATAGAGACGATACAGATGATACTTTAAAATTAATTCATCCGGAGAATCTATCCTGCGAAGAAAATTCAATCAAATGAAGATATTATGAAATTTTCAATTATAATTCTGTATTTACCTGTAGTCTATAGTCTCGTCTTTTCTCGACCTCTGCAGTCCGCTCTCTAATTCCCCAATTTTAATGTTATCAAAATAACAATACATTTTATGTGGTTATGGTTCCATCACAATTCGCAAAAGAGTTCAAATATTTCAACTTCATTGCGATATTCGCAGTCGCCATTTTATTCGCATAAGTTTTGCGTAGAAGCATGAACATACCTTTAGTTGGTTGTGAAACAGTGTAATGTTATTAAAGTAGAGCTCTTGATTCGCAGGGAATAATAGGTCGCGTGCACGATGACCGACCCTGCGGAGGTGAAATATTGAAACACAACCTCACTCTTCTGTGAAACACAACCTCACTTTTTTTATTTGTTTACAGAAACCAAAGGATTGATATAGTTTTTCATAATTTTTCTTTATACGAATCGTGTTTTTTGTGCAATTCATTAAATCAAGCCTGCCTTCTCATTGTGCTGTTGTACGATGCACAAAAAATGCAGCGAGAGATCAAGGAATATATGATTTTTCAGGTAAATGTAATCTCACATAGTTTCCATTATGAAATTCTGTCATTTCTTTTTAAAATTCCTTCTGCCACCTCTGCAATAGAAGCTAATTCTGCTGAAAGATTGAAAATGTTTACAGCACACACGATCATATTTCAGGATGTCAGACCAATCCTCCCGTTTGCATTATTTTAGAAATTTCACGAGTATTTCTATTAGCTCCTATTGCAGAAGGAATTCCGATGAGAAATCAGAGAAATTACCGAATTCCAAAATAAAAACTATATGTGAGTGACTATATTAGGTACTTACTTTTGAATCATAATGTACCAACCGGACTCCTTCGTCTCCCGCTGCACTTTTTGTGCATTGTTCAACAGCACAATGTGATGACATGCGCGATATTATGAATAGCCGGAAAACACGATTCGTATGCCAAAATGATTGTGAAAAACTATTTCAATCACTTGTAAACAAATAAGAAAAGTGAGGTTGTTGTTTCAATCTCTCACCTACAGGGTCGGTCATCTGACACTTCTTGCACGCAACTCTTAAAAAAGAGTCTTATCAATGACAATGCCTGAACATCGATTAGCGCATTACAAAACAGTGCGTCACAAAACAGCGCTGTATAACAAGATGGCGCTTTGATCGACAATTTTTTTCGAAAGAGAACACTACAGATAGGTTAGTTTGTTTAGGTAGATATAGTCCCCAAAATAAAAAACAGGCATTAATGGGAATTACAAATATATGTGCAACTGAATGGAAGATTGTGATAGATTTGTGAGAAATCATAAGGCGTGAGAAATAAGACTATCTATTCAAAGAAACTGACGTTATTTTTATTAGATTGCCTCGGACATCTCACTTTACGCTCTTCAAAGAGTGCGAACACACTTGTCATATTATTGAACAGCTGAAAAACAAACATGAGACACAATAGTATATTATGTAACAAGTGTTATAAACGTCCTTTTAGTAACGAGTGTTTAATAAACGAGTGTCTAGAAGAGTTTATAAACACGTTACATACTATGCTTTTTCTACGAACTCCGAAAATCACATTAACATACCTGCTATTCCTGCTAACCTACAAAATAATTCGAAAGGAATGGGAATTGAGAACATAATACATGCAACTGCATGCAACCAGCGAGACACGTATAAGTGATATTGGTTGTAGATGTGTCCAGTCCATTGCTTACTAACCTCTGTTTCACGTTTATTGTCATGCTTAGCGCAAAATAAATAAATTGTTCTCAAAGATGGATGCTTCATTTTTATACTTCTTGGAAATATGCAAGTACCAGAACATTCTCTGCGATTTCACTTTCGTCTACATTCCGCATATATTTTTAATGGAGAACTCTGATACAAACGAATATTGATCATTCTAGAACATGTGATTTTGACATGGTTTCTTGAGGGGCACACAAACTATCTGTAAGGTTACCTTTGATGAGCATTGCCCAGGCCGTCCCTCTGCCACATTCACAATATAATAACAGTTTCACCAAACACAATTATGAGATTATTTCTGGTTCCAACTCGGATTCGAAGGAAAGCGATCCCATTAATTCTGGTTTTATATGACAGATCTTGACAAAATACAATGTTTGCCCCTCAGCAACCTGTCAAATGACGTAATTCTGGAATGATTAATTGTTTGAATGATTCTGAAACAAAATTTGAAAAAAACAGATGACAGTTAATACAATTGACAGGCCAGAAATGTCTCAAATTACTGAAGCTGTGTTCAATGAACTGTGTTGCCAGAAATCGTGTTGCCATGGTAATGAGAGAAGGAATGTAATTTTCCTACAACCTACTTATTACGTATATTTCGCACTATTAAACAGCACGACATTTTCCGGGGGTTTGTTGGGTTTCCCCATAATTAATTTCCACATTCAAAACCCTTCACTATATATTTTTCTAATGTTGAAGTTGGTGACATAACCTTTTTAATCCCCATGTAAGCACTCTTATTCTCATTACTGTTGTTGATTGTTCTAATAACTACTTTGATTTTAGGACAATTATGTAATATCTGATTTTAGGCATATACAGTGTGACCCACTTCTAATGGAAACAACCCTATATCTTACGTAATCGTTGACAAAAAATGCACTCTATGTCCAAGTTGACCCCACTAGTGATATACACTGCTCGCTAACAGCCATGGAACCACCCCAATTTCCGGAAAATGATATTAGCAGTCGAAATAGATTGACTTCGGATTCGGATTCAGGACGCCCAGTTCACTAACTATCCATAGTTTTCCTAGAAAATTTTCCGTTCAGAAAAATCGAATTTTGTCTCACTTCTCACGTAATTATTGAGGTAGGGTTCTGAAATTCACAGGAGAAATGGAAAGTTCAAAGATAAAGTCAATTACTTAAGATACGGGGGTACTTCCGTAAAAAGTGCAACAAAATTCAATTCTTCAGAACTGAAAATTTTTCAGGGAAAATACGAATAGTTAGTGAATTGGGCGTCCTGATTCCGAATCTGAAGTGATTTTCGACCTAATTTGACTCCTAATATCATTTTCCGAAAATTGGGGTGGTTCCATGGCTGTTGGCGAGCAGTGTATATCACTGAAGCTGACCCCACTTGGTCATAGAGTGCATTTTCAGTATATCTCTCGCTCTAGCAAATTTCAGGATTACCCAACGATTACGCAAGATTGTTTCTATTAGAAGTTGGTCACACTGTATATGTTCGAAACATGTACCAATTTTTGATTTGTTAATCACATTAAATGTCGTGGAGATGAGTTATTGTATTATTTAGTATTTAACCAGTGATTCATAAAATTGCAGATACTTCTTGGTAGTAAAATATATCAATACCACAGAATCTGAATGATAATGACATGTTACGGTTTCAGAGGGCGAATAAATAGGTTCTTATATATTTTGTTCTGTATAGGGTGATTCTGGAGGACCACTTCAATGTGCAATGCAAGATGGTAGATGGATTTTAGCAGGAATAACATCTTTTGGTTCAGGTTGTGCCAAACCTGGTTTCCCAGATGTTTATACGAGACTGTCATATTACCTACCCTGGATTAAATCCAAGACCAAATCCTCCATGAGGTCGAAAGGCTGATGAAAAGTCGTGAAAAAACGTTGTTAATGTTCATATGTTATTTATTTTCACAATAAAATTTTATATTTGTTAGACATATGCCTCATTTGTTGAGGGTTCCTGATATATCGACATCTTTTTGATTATAGGTTATCACTATTTTATAACCAATCCAGAGATGAATAGAAATTTAACTGGTGGGCTCACTCTTCAATTGTTTCGTCAGACTAACTCTCGATATGGAACAATTGCAAGCGAGTTATGGACGTGGGGTTCAGGTATTTGCGATAGAGGCGCCATAATCGGAAAATCGTTTAAAACCTTGTTTCTGAGAGGGATGAATCTATTTCCATCATTGTTCTGTGGTCGAATAAATACTATGCTCAACTTTTTCATTCAAATTTCAATTTGAAATAGAAGCAAGAAATCTTATTTGTGGCCGATTTTAATAAGCTTCACTTCACTTTCATGACATGAACCTATTTAAAGCATGAAATCTGATGAATTTCCTCTTTGAAAACCAGAACAAAGAATGTATCAACTATTGTAATAGACCAATATCGAAAATCATAATAGGCAGATATGGTAACTGGTACTCACCTTAGAATTTATTCACACCAGATCACGCTTATATTTCAAATCACTGAAATAATACTGTTGTAGAACAGAGATTTCCTTTTTTCTATGGTGGATTAGGTATTATACACAAAATTTAGAATCTACAGAACACGTCCCTAACGAACACTTGACCCCAATCTCAGAAATAACCATTTTTTCAGCTCAAGAATATTTTTGACATATTATTGACGTTTCGATCCTTTGATCAGGAATCAGTTCACTGCTCTGATCCAAATCATATACGTATCCAAATATTTATCGGTCGGTAATATGTTTCCTGTAAATATGGATTGTAACCAGGATGAGCTTAGCGAGATTTACCCACGTCAAGTATGTTTATCAAAGGTTTATCAGAGTAGGCGCCATCGAGAAACTTGCAAACGATCTTCAATAGGGAGCAAGCGCACCAGTTAAATTTCTATACATCTCTACCTAAACTATACCAACTTCGTTTTCAATAAAGGAAAGTACGAGATATTTTCCAGGACCCTTGAATCTTTCAGAAAAATCAAGTTATCGTGACAATTGATAATAATAATAATAATGAAAATGATAATAATGGAAGTGAATGCCAAGAAAATATGTAACTAGATAGAACAATTCGAAATTTCCAGGTGTAGCAGCTTGGTAACTCCATATATTGAGTAATGTTCTATGTAATTCTGTATGAGATGGACAAAACTTTGTCATATATCAGATTCTTCATGAGTTTACCTTCACTACAAAAAAAGGAATGATCAAATCGAATCAATCGAAGTCATAAGATGAAATAATAACCAGCTCTATATAAATCGATGATTACTTTAATCAAGACAAAAATACATAGAAAAAAAAACATCCGTAAATAATAGCTTATAAAAACTAGCAATCTCACTAACTATGTACACTAATAACAGAGCGAACGATGTCTACACATACCAGAAAATAAACACAATCGTATGGTACATTTTCCGATACACCACACCAAAGAAAAAATAATTTATTTCAGTCTCTAACACGTCACAGACGCAATTGCTAATAGCTTCAAGGTACCTAAAACGATCTGCGAATACTATTTACAAATCCTCAACTCCTTCTCCTTGAAATAATGGGAAGGTATGTTGATAATAGGTATCGGCGAATACTCTGAAGCGATGCTCATTGACCTTGGCACCATCGTTTTAGAAAAAAACAGCGTGAGTAAAGCTGCTCCAGACACCATAGCCAAACCTATAGAGCCCAGCAAGTAAATAAGGACATTCTGGCACACTGGAAGTACGTCTACCACCAAGGTGATGAGGAAAGCAATGTATTTGGGAAGCTCCATGCAGTCCAGCTCTATCCAGAGCAATGGTAATGTCAAATCATTGAAAGGCCTGGTTTTGGAATTGTACTTCGTCTTCCCCACACCTAGATTGACCTGCACTTTCAAAGTGGATTCATCTAGGGGAACCCCTAGATCTGGATGGATTTTGGCTATGCCAGAATGCAGCTCTTCAGATGGGTTCATCCCACTTATAGCGTTGATGACCTCTGGAGCCCCATTGAGGAAATGTGGCTGTGACAGGACGATAGGTATATCGTAATAGCAAACCCCAATGTTCTGCAGACCTTTTCCAGGACATTCCCCATTTCTGCAAAAGCATTCGTTGGCTGGGTTGATTTCTGGTGAAGCGAACATATTGTTGTTGAGCTTGTAGTTGTAAGACCTGAAGCCTTGAGCGGTCGTGGATTCCTCTACGAACGTTAGGTCTACTGGACGACAAAAAGCCTTCCGGAACAAGGTTAGCGTCCTGTTTTTCCTCAGGGGTTTTGGGAAGACGGTTCCATCGAAAGCCCCTTCTACCAAGTGGCATTTCTTAGTGGTACTGATGGCTTCTTCGGAGTCGTCGAATCCCCAATCCTTCAGGCCTGGGGAACCATTCCATTTGACTATGTGGAATTCTGCCATTTTTTCCTCGTCTGTGAGTAGGTACTCGTAAGGGGAATGTGTCTTGCCTGGCACTGAGCTTATTGTGACTTGGTTGGTGTTGTCTCTATTCATCAGCTGCAATAAAAACATCGAATTGTAAAAAGCATTTGGGAACTGATAAGTAGCCAGCACTAAAATATGTCTAATACATGGCAAAGTCATATAAGTCGGGATTTCAGACCATACGAGATCTCGCTTCGCTTATAAGTCGATGGTCCAAGGTCGGGTTCAACTATGAGATGAATGACAAAGCTACAAGAATGCTTCTTCAAGAACTTTTACCAAAGACCTCTCGATGAGTGTGTAGGATGGAATGTTAGATAAGCGTGTAAGTATTTTATTTCATCATGAAATTCTGGAATACCTGACCCATTTTTGAATTGTTCTTAAAGATCACAGTTCAGAAACTTGATCATTTGAGCTTTGGATTTGGATACGGCTGATAAATAATGCCCATCAGCATCAGATCTTTTCTTGTGATATTATTCCTCTATTGTCCACTGAGCTGGTAAACATATTTCTGAGGTATTATTCACTATAAACAATCCATGATTCTTACTGATTAGATATAGCTTCAATTCATCTATATTTATATTATTGGAACAGAACAGAATCTTCATGTATGAAGTTTTTAGTTATCAAGAAATCATATGGCATGATGAGTTGAAGATGTATCAGCTAAAGAACTCAATCTCGATCTCTTAATCTCAATCAATCAAATTGCATGAGAGAAACATTCTCTCAAACATTGAAATATATTTTATAAAATATGACGATTGTATAGCAGATATGTTGAAAATGTTAGTGTTGAAACCGATATATTTTGTGTGTTTGAGAGGTAGGGAAGGTGATTAAGTCCACTTATTAATGATGATCACTCAGGTAGCACAATGATGTCTCAATAACATCCTGATTCGGTTACAGTAGGAGAGGAGAATACTTACCATGTATTCTCATGACTTTTTGCATTGTTAGGTAACGTATTATAGTAGAGGAGGCAAAGGGGCTATATACAAATTTACTCGAGTGTCGTGGGGACCTATTAGATTATGAAGATAAGATGCTGAAGATAAAAAAGGTTTTATGAGGTATGCCCTTCCACTGAAGGAGGTAGCGTTTCAAAAATGTAAAATAATAACAGATAAATACACTAGCGCTTCAGATATTTACACCCACCCACGTGTTTCTGATAACCGAAAAATATTAATATAGGTACCAGTTTGCATTTGGGGACGGGGAGAAGTGACCGAAGGGGGGTAGAGAATAGGTAAAAAAAAGGTATTCGAGTGTGTCAGATATTGAGAAAAAGATGTTGAGTGAACCCTCGAGTAGCTCCTATATTCAAAGGACTGACGATTTGGACGCGACCAAAAGTCATGCTCAATTTTTGAAAATGGAAGAAAAAATTGTGACCTTGAAAAACTCGAGCGCGTCAGATTATTATACAGACGCTTCATCTTAATGTCCTTGTCGTTTTGATCTATTGACATTAATTATGTTGGGGAATTTCCCTAATCTGACGGTTGGATTCTTTTTTGTTTACTGAATGTATCAACTATGAATTGTAATATGTATATATAGGGTGAGTCGATTTCTTGTAGCAGGACAACTCGAAGAATTTACAATTTTAAGATAAAAAGGTCATGTAGACGTACCACGTGACACTCCTATAGCTTTCGTGCATTGGTCCCATTGCTGGGACCAACGAGGTATGCAATTGCAAAAAAAAAATAAAAAAAAAAGTTCAACAGCGAAAGAGTGAGAGATAACGAAACAGTGAGAAGAACAGAGTGGCGCGAAGTGGTAAAAACATAGTTCCACGCACACAAACCAATGTCTAGGTGACGTTTATTCTTTGCAACTTCATGGCTCTTCTATTGCCTTATGTCAGGACCAAATCGTCACATTATTGAAATGCATACTTTTCTGATGTTAGACACCCTATAAAGATCCCAGGTATAGTGGGAGTACTTCACAAGGTGCAAGGTTACCCTCTTATAACATTCCTTCGCTCTCGAGTAAATCCCAAAATCTCCCCTTGGGCTCCCCTACTATTATAGTCGGCTGCAAATCCGTTTGAATATAGGAAAAAAACGGACAAAACGACTGTCAGATGTGATGAGACTTCAGACTTTATAGAAACGTCATTATAACTTTCTGAGTAATACGTCAATGTGACGTCATATGAAGGTCACATTACAGTCACGGACGTCATAGACCAACGTGACTTGTATAAGATATCCTTATGACGTGTGCTACACGGAAAATAATAATTCTTCCTGTTCTGAACTGAATATCTCCCAGAGTGGATACTTACTCTTTCCATGATTCCAAATTTCCCGAAATCTATCCAGCTGGGGATGAACTTATTCGCCACTGATACCAGTTTGTCCTCATAGCCCCAAAGGTACTCTTCCACGGTTAGGTTCATGAATGACTGGGCACCCAAACTGGTACTAATGGTCGAGAAGCCAATATTCGTGATGAAGGAAGCATCTTTGAGATAGGACTGAATTCCCTGAAAAAAATCAATGTTCAATATACGATGTTTGTCATGGCATGGATTAAGACTAGCACAAGTGGAAACCGCAGCAGAACAGATACTTTTTTCAAATAATAATGTGAGTTGATGATTTCAAAGTTTGGTGCTGCAGTGCTGCTCCTGAAGGGTCGCATGGAGTTAGTAACAATGCCTACACAGAACACATAGTAAGAGGTGATAGTGTGGTTGTGAGCATCAGAAAAGAAGTAGGACGGTATTTGTTGGTGTACGGTAAAAAAATATGTTATCGTAACGATATTCTGGTTGACAAAGGCACAACCAATTACACATCGTTAAATACCATATAAAAGAGTAACCATAACGATATTCTGGCTATAGTAATCTTGAATGATGGTTAATGCTACAAGATATCTGGTTGTTTCTGATATTTCTCCGTGTGAGTGTGAAAAACTACCAGCAGACCTATGCTTCTTAGAGAAACTCTAACTGGCATATAACAAGGTATAGGTATAGCTGCAGCTAGTAGTGAGTACACTACTGGCAGTAACTACTTTATTACTATAGCCTATAACACATAATCGACTTTCTGAGAGACATTACTCATTAAACATTGGGGCTTGCAAACATGGTTCAATTGGAGGCTAGTCGCTGACGTGCAATTTTTTCTGGTTCCCACGAAAAGGGATATCCTGTAATGTTCAGAGAAACTCGTGCATGAGAACCAAGAGAAATAAGGTAGGAATTGGTGTTCTTCTTGAATTTCTGCAGGTTATATGCCTCGGGGAACACCTCCCTTGGAAATGTGTTCCAGAGCCTCGCTGTTCGTTGGATGAACGCGTCTTTAGAAAAAGATGTTCTGCAAGTCCCCAAAGTGACCACGAAGGGGTGCGAAGCCTCAACTTGACGGGTTAATCTCGCGGGGACTGCCAAGGAAGGAACAATTGTTGATATTTCTGGAGAGCATCGTCCATGAAAATATCTATTAAAAAGAGCCAGATCGCCAACTTTTCTACGGTGTTCCAGAGAAGTGAGTGAGTTTGTGAGCGAGGCATCACCCACGAGACGAATTGTCTTTTTTTGGACAGAATCCAACAGTTTCAGGGTATGTTTGGGTGCTGCACTCCAAATATGAGAACAATATTCCAGGACAGGCCGGATCTGTGCCATAAGCAGCTGACTGGAGGTGAAATAGCTCCTAGCCCGAAACAGAAATCCAAGTTTTTGGGATGTACTTTTAGCAATTGATCTCACGTGATTTTCCCAAGAAAGGTTATTGCTGATAGTTCAAAGTATGGTATCAGATGTCATGGCACCAGGTTGTCAACAACAACCAAATAATGTTACAAAAACTACAGTTTTTCATTTCCGCTGCTGTACAAAGTAGTTATAGCATATAAAAACAAATTTCGCTATACTCACAATCATTGGGATATTCGGTACGATGATTCTATCAGTTCTTGCATCTCCAATGGAGTTTGCCGCATCTACAGGGAAGTCTCTTCTAGGGGTGTAAGTCACTGTACCATCGTCATGAAAAGTTGAATTTTGGTTTGTTAACAACTCTCTGAAAATTGTAGAAAGATTATCCACCTGCTTGAAAAAATAAAAGAAGATACTAGGCCAGAGCCAGACAAAATTTTGTTCCGTTGGTACGAACACTTTATGTTGATGAGGAAATAACTCACTTGTAAGCATATGGTCCTAATTGCTGGACATTCAGTTTTTCTTCCCCTCTCAAGAATTCTTCTGGATTTGTTACATTGAAAACATAAAGTTTCATAACCACATCGTATGGAGGGTTACTCCAGATAGTAAAAAGCATTGATCCTGGGGTGAGGGAAACCAACTGGAACAGCAGAAAAAAAAGACAATCAAAATAAGTAGGTGAGTGGAATTATTCATTATTCCAGAAGTTTTTGGAATTTTCTCTCCTCGTTTCTATGAAATAAAAATTTGAATATTATTTCAATATTGTCAGTGACAATTCATATTAAAAAGGTTTGGAGAAGAGATATAGAGGTATGTTGATTTTAGGAAATAAAATGTGTTATTGAAGTACAACGTGAGTATATGAAGTATCTAGTGATGGAGAAATGAGGACAAGTAGTAGTAATGAATATCCTAGAATGGGTTGCAGAAGAAGGTGAAATTTCGCACTTCATAAAATATCTTGATAAATAGCGGTTTGTTCACATTTTCATTGTGAAATTCATGTTTTTCAGGCAAAAATACGTAAGTAGCAAAAAAAACTTTGGAAAAAAAAACCATACCATGATGAGTGCACTTTTGCCTTCCATAAATCTACGATTTGTTGAAAATTCCACCAAAGTCGAACATGAATTGAAAAAGTTACAAAATAATAAAATAATTTCAACTTGCCTTCTTCGCGTGTTGATACCATCTCTTAAGTTTGCACTAAAGCCTTGTTGATATGAAGGAGTCGTCAAAGGTTTGTGAATAATTCAAAAGTTTGTGTCAAGTTATCAAATTTGATGCCTATGAGCTTCGTGACACTTCGAACGTAAGCAAATTTCACTATGTATATATTTAGAGTTTTTTATCTCTATTCGATGATGTTTTAAGCACCTTATAATTGTTTCGATATATTTGGATACTCATATCATAATGAATTCTCATTATTAAATTATAGTATCGAATCGTTATCTATCAACGATTGAAATATTATTTGCCTTACTCCATTATCACCCTGTATGAGCTTGCATTATGCCCAAAATAAGTGTGATGGGTAAAGGTGGGTTTATGCAGCAATTAAAATGAAATAAGGAATAAGATAAGATAATTTGAGGAATAAGTAATAAAATCCACTGTTTATACAGATGACTAATATATCGAAGACTGGAACCTTTGGCACGATAATACACTACACTGTTTTACCACTAACCAAACCGATATTTTAACGCCTCGACACGTGTTTCGCTAACTATGTTAGCATCTTCAGGAGAAGATTAAAACAGTTTTAATCTTCTCCTGAAGATGCTAACATAGTTAGCGAAACACGTGTCGAGGCGTTAAAATATCGGTTTGGTTAGTGGTAAAACAGTGTAGTGTACAGATGACTAAAATAAAATTATGATTAAGAAATTAACCAATCCAATCACGGCATTGATGGCAAATGACGTTTCATGTTTCATGTTCTATGGAGATTCTGTGACAGAATTCATTTGGGTCATGCGCATCATCATTTTCCGAATAAAATAAATTGAAAAGATAAAAGTTGGTCATCTTTTATTTTATTCTTATCCCTATTCTCAACTTATTTCTTGTATGAACGGTTCAATGAAATTGCCTATGTTGAACTTTCTTATTTTATGCTATTTTTATTCCTTATTTTGTTTTATTTGCTGTATAAACTCACCTTAACTGGCAGATTGTCTCTCCAAATCATACTTTCATCATGGTTATATACTATATAGAGTGATTTCAATGGATGTCTTTAATGAACCTATATTAGAAATTGGATTCATAATTTTGGATATAATTTTTTTCTTCATGCAGTAAGCAGGATATGATAAACTCATGGAACAACAGAATGGTATTTTTTATTATTGAATCGAATGGAATAACAAAAATACCGATATAGCACAATTATTTTCGGGCGTAAATACATAAGAGATAATATTTTTATCAATGAATACATGTATCGTATGAAAGTTTCATTGTCATAGAAAAAGGCCAACAGTGAACAGCCAAAATTCCAATTGAAATCAGCTGTGAATTGTTGGTGGTTCAATAATCTTATGCTCGCTACACAATTTCTACATCCGCTTCTGTTATATAAATATTGTCATCTAAAACGGGGGGACACAGAAAAACGAAACTCCTGTAGTATGCCATATAGAAAATAATAGAAATAGTGGAAATAAGATAATTGAAAAAAAGTTACCCTTCTAATTATCATTTGTAGAGGATCGTAGACATACATGAAGCAGGAGAAGCACACCATCACAAAACCAACGAACGCTAGGGTAAGAATTTCTGTAACAAAGAAAAAAAATGCTATGGTTAGTTGACATAAAATATCAAGTAGAAAAAAATCAAATGAATACAATCATATACAATTTAAAGATTTCACAAACGATAAAACTTCTACAATACAAACGGAACATGTATCGTTCAACACAGTTATACAGTAGGTTCACACAAAAATTGAAAGTAATAGTTTTCATAGCGTACTTTGATAATGTTAATTATTCCATGTTCATAGAAACTCATTTGAAGATATATTCCACGTCAAAAACGCCGGTATTAGGTTGGGGGTAACATGATATATTATTGTAATCAGGAAGAACAGATCAATTCATAAATTCAAAAATAAAGGGTGAACCATTTTGTGGTGTATTCTGAAATTTGCGCACTACTATATTGTTCATAACATTTCTCAAAATTCAGTCATAATCAAGCACTTTTTCCATTCCGAACTTTCTATAGGCGATAATAACAATGATATAAGGGGTGGGTAATTTATAATGAATGACCCTGTATAAACTGAGAGCAGAGATTCATACATTTCCCCAATGAGTAGTTCCAATAAAGCAAATTCATACACATATTATAAATCACAACTTTCAGAGTGGAATAATTTTTCCACAATTAATAGTTTGACGCCTTTATATGCAAAAAAGTTAATAAAACTCTGTTTACTAGCCAGTGAACACATAAAAGCTCTTAGCTCCTCAAACATTCATTAAAATCGTACTAATTACAAGTTTTTATTTAATTCTTTGAATAAACCACTTGATATCTAACTGTTTTGTTAGTAGATAATACTTACATCATTATATATCATTCATAATAAGTACTAGTACGAATATCCAATTTCCATTTTATTGTTGCAATTAAAGAATCTGAATTCCAGGAAGTGCATATAAAAAGCTTCTAATAGTGATATGATGGACATGTTCAATAGAAATAGTCTATTGTTTCAACTACTCCCAATATGTAATGTGAAACATTACGACATTGATTTCAGTTTCGTAATTAGACACTATACCGCACTAGTGTTACTTTACAGCACTATAGTTCAGTAACGTGAAGAAAATAAATTACAAATTTCAGTTGTTTCAATTGATCATAAATATAGACATTATATCATTATTAATCTACAAACATGATATTTATCTATTAAATAAATGTGAAAAGCTCACAGTCATTTCCACCCAGTGTTCATAAAATGAACAACAATGGTAGATTTCGGGAGAAAAACAACTACTTCCCTGGCTAATACCACGCAGGATATTGAATTACATCCTCCCGAAATCTATGCATCGACTCGTTTAAACGAATACTGATACAAGTGATTAAACGAGTCGATGCATAGATTTCGGGAGGATGTAATTCAATATCCTGTTTTTCTCCCGAAATCTACCATTGTTGTTCATTTTATGAACACTGGGTGGAAATGACTGTGAGCTTTTCACATTTATTTACTATTTCATTCCACTGTGAGCATTGTGGCTATTTCGTAGTATTTATCTATTCCTTCTTAATCGGAATTCATGTCTATAGTTTTGTTCTACAAGCGTGCGGAAGAGTCCACTTTTCCGCACCCATTTTAGTGTTGGAAGAGTCACTTTTCCACACAAGTGCAGAAACGACTGTTATCCGCCCTAGTTCGGAAAAGTAGATTTGTTAAGTTTCTGGGGAGTGTACTGACAATTGAATGTTTAATGATAGTAAATGTTTATTCATGTTGACTTTTGGATTTTTTCCTCACGCTAGTAAAAACGGTGATAACCATGAGCACAATGATTTCATTTTGTAGCATTATTATAAAATCTTGTTTATTAATAAATTGAAAGTAACATTTTTTTTCATAAAGCTTTTATTCAAACGCTCTAAAATGAATAGAGTAAAATGTTCCTTTATAATTTTAACTATCAACTATTCAGAATGACGTCACATTATTTTTCGAGTTACTTGCAACGATTTCTTTCATTTGATACCCATATTGTAGAAGTGCATTAAATATAACTATTCCGCCATCTTGGATGGTCCGCCATATTGAAAAAACAATGATGTCACTTTATTTTTCGAGTTACTCCCAACAAGCCCTTTCATTAGATACCCATATTGTGAAAGTGCATTGACAATGACTATTCCGCCATCTTGGATGGTCCGCCATATTGGATTTAGAATAATTTCGCACACCGTGCATTGTGCATTTATTTCGTTGAAGGATACTTCCATTGAATGGGTGGAATAGACAAAAATATTGAATTTTCAATCATATATTTACCCACAAAACAAATAATTTTGAATATATTAAAGTCGATCCATAATCAACTTTCAATTTCATAGTGTTATGCCCTATAATGGAGCATATTCCAACAAAACAAGCCAGATATTGATAAAAGTATAGGTGACTCTCGAGAGTTCACCAAATATCATTATCTACTAATTCATTTTCAAAAACATTAATAATTAATCATCCACTATATCAGTTCTCATTGAATGATTGTTATCGTCTAATGAATGAGGTTCTCATGAGCATGTTATCATTCGATCTTTGGACGATTTTTGTTTTTCAAGAACATAAGCTTTTTTATGCAACCGACACAAAAGTCGTCCATTTTGATACCAAAATTAGCTCTTAAATTGACGTTTCTATTACTGACACAAAATAGGTATGTTGCTAGGCAACATATTTAGTTCCTAGGAGCTAAAGTTGAATATTAGTTCCTAGGAGCTAAAGTTGAACTTCAGCTAGGAACTAAAAAGGATGTACTGGACGTCATCGAGAATGAACAACATTGTGACGGTTGGTTATTTGGGTTGAGACGCATACCTGATTTGTTTCTGATTTCAGCAGATTTGGCATTTCATGCCCATGCTGGAGATATAAATACACCTTATTATAATAGTTTGGTATTGGAATTATAAACATCTCAGTTAAGTATTTTTGTTTTGATCAGGGAAGCCTTCAAGATTCAAATACTTGCTTGATCTGTATTTCATTCGTTATTCTCGGGATGGATAACTTGTTTTTGAATAATCACGGCAAGCAATCGGTGTTTTGTCTCAAACAACGATGTTGTTTAGCTTCATTTGATTATCAAGTCAAACACAGTGTAGTATGGAGAGGAATAAATTATCACTATCATCATTGTTGATATGCTCACTAACAGAACATTTTCCACGTCTTGTTCCTATAGCTGGCACTGGCGCGGTATTTGCCATTATATAGAGCACCTGGTCCATACACAAATATGTCACTCTGTGGTTGTATTTATATTGAAACTACAATTCGAACATCCTAGAAAACCTAACCTGCTGTTAATGCAGGTAAAATACTCTCACTACATGGATTATTTGTCAATATTTGTTGCATCGCATACATATGGCACGGCATTGGTGGTTACTTCACATGTTCATTTGGGTTAATTGTTTCGGTTGCAGAAAAAATAGCATGTTTCATTCGGATCAAAAGTGACTTTGTTCGACTCGAAAATTTTGCTTTCGCTCGGCTTCGCTAAACGCTCCGCCTCGCAAATGCAAAATTCGCTTGTCAAACAAAGTGTCACTTTTGATCCTAATAAAACAATCTACTATTGATATCGTTAGAAAATGCATCTGAGAGCCTAAAAATAGTTTAGAATAATAATAGCATATTTTTAATGTGACTCAACTATTCTTCTTGGCAAATTCGAGGTCATAAATGAACTGTTGTGCTCAATGAACTTTGATTTATGGTGCATTATCACTAATTTGATTCAGTTATAAGTTATCCTCACTGTCGCATTGAATTAATGAATCGATCATTATTGCAGAATTTATGATGTTCATGAACTTTATTTTTTTTTGCCTTCTGAATGTGTTTATTTCATTAACGTCGCGGAGAAATTCATAATGATGGAAGCTGCAGTAGATATCTATTCTAGTAACCCTCGGTATAACAGGAAAATGGTACCTCAAACCGATTCGTTGTTGAATTTCACATATACAGGGTGTCCGGAAATTATGCGCAAAAAATCAAGGGGGTGATTCTGCATGAGAAAACATGAAACTTATTTCATATATACGTGGTTCCGAAAATGCATAGTTTTCAAGATACAGTGTGTTGATCTTAAAATGAAAAATCAGTTCTTTATCAATTACTCATACATCCTTCCACCGATTCTCTTGAGATTTGGCAATGATATTCTTTGTCGTGAGAGACTGGTTTAGCTAGAATTGCATTTGATATCTGGCTTCGTTTCCGTGGAAAAACATAAATACTAATTTATTGTATAAAGTGCAAAATATTCCTTCAAAACAGGGGTGAAAAGCAATGTGTGATCCATGTCCATATACATAGGATACGAAAGAAGATTCATTTTCTTCGAATAATTTATAATAAGTACATGTTTGACACACTTTGTATTATTGAAAACTACGCCTTCCTGGACCTAGATTACATAATTCTCAATATACAGAGTGTAGGGTATATTTAAAAATAAAACATTGAGTGAATATCTACTCTACCTGCACCATAGTAAAATGAAATTTATAGTATCAGATACATAAGCATAATATATAAAAATGATTGATTCCATATAATTTTTTTACTATGATCCGGAAATCAAAATATTTTGTCAAAATTATCCCAATTTTTTCTTATTATATCATAGCTGTCATGTGCCAGAAAATTTCCACTTATAATTTCACTTCTACATGCTCCTGTGGATGAAAACTTCCCAAAAAATTGCTGGTAACCATAGTAACAACGTCGAAATAAACCAAATGATTGGTTGAAAATGACTGGTATGAAATTTCAATTGATCTTTTGGAAGATACATAATTTTCATCGGATTCCCAATTTATCGTCGAACTACCAATGAAGCAGAAAAAATCCGAACTGTTTAAATGTTAACATGAGATGGAGATCACCTGATGGGAACAGTGTTTAGATGTAGAATAAATATTCCATTTCACTGAGGATTCCCAAGAAAAACGGTTTAGCAACAATTTGGTCAAAAAATTAACACTTCAGATCATAA